TGCCACTTGGCTGTGCAGATTTCTAAAAGCTTTTGAATAGACTAATAAACATGGAATTGTTCTGAACATCTGTAAGCAAAATATGAAAAGATATTACCCAGTGAATGAACATCCTGGGTTTTCTTGCCAGAAATGGGGTATTTGTATATTAGGCTAATGCACTGAAATTAACCCAGAATGCTTATCCATTGCAGAATGTCTTTTCATATTTTCATCTGTACAGTCGTTACTATAAAATGTAAGAATAATTCTCTATCAGAGTATTCAGGAATCTGAATAGCTCAATTACTTCTAAAATCAATGTAGTAAAGCAACAGCAGGCCAGTTAATCAGCTGGTTTGCATAACAACTGTTTGAGGGATTGTGTGTGTGTGTGCATGTGTAAAGAGAAAACCAATGTCAGCCCAACTCCTTAAAACAAATGTGAAAGATCAAGCTTTCATCTGACTGCAGAGAAAATTCTGGAAGACAGGAACTAGCATTCTTCACATCACAACCAACCTTTCCCTAGGACCTGGTACAATGCCTTGCATGTGGTACCCTTCCAATAAGTGGCATATTTAATTTGTTCAAGAAAGCCGACCTCTAAGTGAGGCTCCTCATGGCTATTCCAGATCAGGTTCTGGGTTCTCTAGTGCCAGCCAGATGCTGAGTCTGAAACACAAATGGATGGGTGAATCTTTGGACATCATTTTAGGTACAGAACAGATGGCCACTAAGACATGAATTACTTCTCAGCACATCTCTTAGAGACAGATCAGAAATGAATCAGAACAGTGGCCCATCAGAGGTCTGCTGGCCATGAGAGACGCTACCCTGCATCCCAGCCAAGGCTGGGTGCCTGGTGCAGAAGCTGGTGGTGAGTGGCTTTCAGAGGGGTAAAAATTCAGCCCTTAAACATCTGGGAGAGCAAAGTTTCTCAGCCTGTGCACTATTGGTTCAATGCTTAATGAACCTGAGATACATATCTCAGACTGGCATTTTATTGAATTCAAAGTGAGAGTTAGAACTGTCTGCCTGACCAACCTGATTTCACTGCATTTTCTTTCTGTAAATAATCCCCACAGGAGGACAGAAGATTAGAAAGTTTTACAGAGTATGGATCAGAACACAAGGTTAGTGATAAAACTTAAAAGTGCCATGGTGTCAGGCTCTGTGGGTCTGCCCAGAACATCCAAGAAGGTGGCCAGGACCTCCCCTCTCCTGGGCTGTCCTGGCTCACCAAACTCCCACTGAGGCCTTATGTTCCTGTTACATAGTCAGGGCATTCCATTATGTTACTCTGAAATCCTACAGACATGGATACCAATCTCTCTTTGAAGTGACTGTCTTATCTCGACTCTGATTCAGTACAGGCTGATTTTATACTGCCATTCCCAATGGGTAACTTTATTCCAAATACTTAAGAGACTGTCTCCTGGTATTCTCTACACATGTGAGGTGCAAGTGGCACCAAGCAATGGAGATTGCCCACCACGAACAGCCCCATTAGTGAGCCCATGCCGGGGACACCTCCTCTCTCAGCTGCTATGAGAAGCCATGTTATCTTTTCTACACTCCTAGTCACAACTGCAGTTTGGGGTTCAGAGTCCCTGCCCTATCAGTTTCCACAGGGAAATACCATTCAGACACGAATCTACACCCTCTCCCTGGACACACACTGCTTCTACAAGCACATCCTCACTCTCTGGCTCACTCCTCCCCTGTTGAGGCTGTGCAGACCCGATGGCACAGCAGGGATAACAAATGTGAGCCAATGGTTCCTTGGCTTCTGTTCACCCACCTGTGTGCCGAGACAATGCTTGTGGAAGCTCTGATGTGTATCCTCACGTGAAAGGCTGCACAGAGCACCAAGGTAAAGCTGGCCCTGTGGATGCTGATAACCCCTCCTCCCATATTTATGGCACCTGCCCCAAGAAACCACATGATACCTTAGGCTCAAGCGAAATGCTTTGTGAGAGAAGGAATTTGCACACAATCCAAGTCCCAATGCTTCCTTTCTTGACAAAATAAAAGTAAAAACCTTTACAAAATATTCACAGACTGTGATCAAAGTTTTACAAATTTAATTGCAAGCCCAAGAGAAAGCAATTTTGAAATTAATGCAAATACTAGAGTACAGACTAGTATTTCTCCCACACTGAACCTCAGCAATTACTATGCATCTTACCAGGGTCTTGGGTTTTTTTTTTTTTTCTTCTTCTTCTTCTTTCAAGTCAGACCCCTCCAGGGCTGACTTGTTCAGCAATGCTTTGAGCACCCGAGGCTTCAGAGGGGAGGCCCGCCAGTGTAACCTGCTTTCTGTCTCCCCCACCCCTCTCCTCGGTCAAAAATCTTTAATTAGCTGGTTACCATAATTACTCTAGCTAGGGACCTTATTTGTTCTCCTTCCCCGTTATTCCCAGGGATCTGAAGTCTCTACCACTTCTGTGCCAGAGGGACCTTTCCATCATAGCTCCTCTCTGCCTTTTTGTTTTTCCCTTTTATGATCAGAACAAAAAAAAAAAAAAAAAAGCCTAGGGAAAGAGATCATCTCGCCTTCTGTGTCTGGGTAAGACCCTATAACTATCGCTTTCCAATCAGGAACAAGTTTCCATGGCAACCATGCTTCCCAATGCTACTGTTAACTTAGCAGGTAGTGTTCATGTCAAATCGAGTTTTTTACCAACATCCATGGTTTCTGTACTTCGCCACAGCTACAGGCCTCTAGCATACCAGCTGTTTGCATTAACTGGTTTGGCCCTTTTTCCTTCTAAACAAGAGAAAGACAAAAGGGTTTCCTTGGCATTCTCCTTAATAATTTAAAAGCACACCAATATAATAAAAAATATAGCAGAGGGATAGATATGAAAGAGAATTTGTGACTTGGTGGAAGGAAGTACAAAGGGATAAATGGAGAATGGCTGGATATAATGATGGCTGGGAGCCTTACACCATAGTCAATGACATAGACTTCAAGCTGAGGGTTAAGGAGGTAGGGATTCCTGCTAGGTATGACCTTGGGTAAGTTATTTATTCTCTCTGAGCCTCGACACTCCCTCTGTAAAAGAAACTGACATACTTCATGGAACTGCTTCAAGAAAAGCAAAGACAGAAAAAGTACTTATTAGAGTGTCTTGCATACAGCATGAGTTTAACACATGGCAATTATCATGTTGTTATTAAGGCAAAGAGCTGAACTGAAAAGGGTTCAAGCAAACAAGCAATCACAATATTCTAAATGATTGTTAACATTTTACTGGTTGAGGATAATCGGTATAAGCAGTAGATATTTGGGGATTTTCTTAGCAACCTTTTTGTCTTAGGCCATTAAGTCATGCCTAGAATTACAGGAAAGAATCTATTCATTTCCATTCCTAAGACTTAAGAGGATACACCTGGGTGATCTCCAGGACTCATTTGAGTCTATTTATAGCTCCGCACAGCATTTAATTTCAAAACAGGAGTTAAAAAAATAGATTACCATTAAAATATTTGTTCATTACACCATTCTCCATACCAATCAGAATATTTCAATTCTTCTCTAGGGGCAAGAAAAACAAGAATATGCACATTTTTATAATATTTTCATTGTTGTACAGCCCAAATTTTATTTCAAAATAGAATTCATATTGTAGCAAACACATCAACATGTTCATTGTTCACCAAGCTCCCACATTCCAACTTTTCCCCTCCATCATTCACCATGCCATTGGAGGGCTGAGAGCATCCTTCACAAACCACAGCTATTTAAGCCTTTATTTTTAAAAGATAAAACTGTTTGCATATTTTTTACACCCCAGTTCCATCAACATGGTGGACTATATCCAGATACTCCCTCCCTATTAAGACCTCTTAAGATGGTGAATATAATTTTTTTTAGAAAAACATTTCAAATGCTATCTAAGCTGGCAGGAAAGTAAAGGAAATCCTTGAAGGTCAGAAAGAAATCCAGACAGGTAATTTGGTATTAAAAATAGAATTTTCTATGAGGGCATCTACCTACCCTGTTAGCCTAGAGTAGAGGTCAGCAAATTTTTTTCCTGTAAAGCACCCAATAGTAAATATTTCAGGCTTTAAAGACCATACAATTGGTTGCAAACACTCAACTCTGTCACGGTGGCATGGAAACACTCATAGATAATATGCAATAATAATAATAATAATAATGAGCACAGCTGTATTTCAACAAAAATTTATTTATATAGATAGGTGGCAAGTGGGATTTGGCCCATGGGTCATAGTTTGCTGATCCCTGCATGATAGCAGGGCTTTCAGTGTTTTTCCTTCCAGAAAATACAACTAGTATATGACATGTTTATCTCATGTGGTAGATTGTTAGAATAATGGTCCTGATTCTTCATACCTCCCTGTATCATTGACTTTGGGGAGCCATCTTATATTGAATCTAACCCAGATCATATGACTTGTTTTGGCCAATGGTATAAAAGTGAATGTAACACAGAGAATGGGGCTTGTCCTTTCTTGTTGCTTTTAGGTTCTTTGCATCCAGCACCATGTGAATTAGCTGAGGCCAGTGTGCTGAAGACATACACATAGTCCATCTTCCCCATTACCCCAGCTGACAGCACTAACCAGCAACCAGAGCTAATTGCCAGACCTATGAGTAAAGCAGCTAAGGGCAACTAGCCCCCAGGCAACCCAGAGGTTGACCTTAGTCACATGAGCAAATCCAAGTGTGGCTAGCAGAAGAACCATGAAGCTGAGCCCAGCCTCAACTGCCGGTCATCGGAATCACAAGCTAATAAAATAACTGTTTTAAGCCACCATGTTTTAGAGTGTTTATTCCACAGCAAAAGCTAAATTATATATTTCACAGGAAGAGTAGCATCTTCTAAACATATAAAGTGAGAGGCCCAAAAGTATATTAACAAAAACAATAAAGACTGAAGAAACACTTTTGAAAAAACATATTGCCATTTTAAGGCACCCGTCAACCAACAGTAGAACCAGCCCTCCCTTGTTTCTCCTAGTAATACAACAAAGTAAATTCTTCCTACCTGAGCAGACTTCTTTATAAGTAGGATTTGAAGTGTACCCTCCTGCAAAACCAACTTGAGTTGAATATACTCCTTTCAAGGCCCAGAATTTCCTTTCAGCTCCCCAGAAACAGCCCATTCCTTAAAAAAAAAAAAAGAAAGAAAGAAAGAAAGAAAGAAAGAAAAGATACTGATTATTCAAAACAAAGTGGTCATTGCACATACAATAGCTGTTAGATGAGGAAAAAAGAGTTGCTCCTGTCATTTGATAACCAAAAATGACCAAGATTTTATCTTTTAAAGAAGGAGAGTTCTTAACATTAGTAAATAATTTTATTTACAGTTATTTGCATAGCATATCTCTTTGCTTTAGCTGTGCAAAAACTTAGAAGGCCTCAAATATAATGGAGTTAGTAAATCTACACATTTCCAAATAACTTGGTAAAGGCGTAACTATTTTCCTATTTCCTGCATTCAATTCATAACTTGAAACAATAAAAAATCTACTGAGTGATCCACTCCCTGGTCATGTATTTTTTTAAAAAATATTTTAACAAAGAAGTATAGAAAGAGGTTGCTCATTTTAATGGGAAAACTTCCAAAATCACATAAATTTATGCACATTTCCAATTAACAATGTCACATATATGTTGAGTTTAAAAAAACTTTTTTAATCACTATAAACTTGCATGTGGTAAATCACTGCTTACCCAAAAGTATGTTTTTCTGAGTTTAGTTTCTGAACATAATGAATGTAAGAGAAAGGTGTAGAGGGGAGGCAGGGAAAGAATGACAACAACAAACAAATAAACTCGTAAAAGCAACATTCCATTTGACTAGCAAACATGTGTCTATACCAGTAGTCACAGGATATCTTCGAACATCTGATGAAAATCACAAACCATCTCCCAGGAACACACATACTCAAACACATTGACAATGTTGCCTTGCACTTCCTTGGGCTCCAAGTAAAAACCTTCATTTTCTACCATAAGTTTCTAAACTGTCCAGTACAACTGGTATTCTGTGCCCATTTCTAGGTGTAAAAAAGATTACTGCCTCACTCAAATTTTATATGGCTTTATGAAGTTACATATAACTGAGATCCTGGGTGAAACAACAGCTGTAAATTAATATACACTATACACCTCTCACTCCTACACTTACTCAATTTACTAGATTTGGTGGCAGAGGTGAAAGATAAATTAGAAGTTTACTGAAATTCTCGACACTCTTTAATATTCTACTCTAAACATTCAAAGCAACAAAACACAAAAAGCAATTTGTTAACAAGGAACAAGAAAGGACCCCATGAGAAGGAGGATGAATGACCAGGATGCAGCTGGGCAGGGGCCTGAGGTGCTATGTGTGGCTGGAACAATGTTTCAGGGACTGGAATACAATCGATGTTCACATTTCTGGAGAGGAACGCGACTTAGGACACAGGTTGTTAGGAGGATAAAACTCCACAAAGCAACACTTCGTCTAGTGGCTGCAGGTTCAACCTAAACATTCTACTAAGTGGCTTTGAAGGTGCAAGTGTGAAAATGCGTGTGTGTGTTTAAACAAAGAAAACAGGCTTATTTATAGCAAAATTACTCTATTTTAATAATCTGGTAATCAGCATATCAGCAAATAAAATATACTATGCATGATTTTCTTAAAAATACTTTTTTAGCCTTTTGTTATAAAATAAAACCGATACCAAAAAAAACATACAAAACAAACGTATACTTCAAGGCACTCTTATTAGACAAACCACCACCCGGGTCAAGAATTAGAAGTTTGCCATCCACCCTAGATATACCTCCATGTGCCACACTCCAACCACAACAGACACCCTATAGCCCAAAAAGGAACCATTATCTGACTTTCACAGCAATCATTTTCTATGTTTCTTACACTTTTATGCTCTAAGGGTTCACCCCTGACATTACAGTCTTGTTCATTCTTTAAAAAAATTTGATATGTCTTTAAGTTTTGGTGTTTTTTTGTTTTTGTTTCTGTTTTTGTTTCATTTTGCTTTGTCTCCCTCTGTCACCCAGGCTGGAGTTGAATGGCACAATGTCGGCTCACTGCAACCTCCACCTCCTAGGTTCAAGCAATTCTCCTGCCTCAGCCTCCCTAGTAGTTAGGATTACAAGTGTGTGCCAACATGCCCAGCTAATTTTTATGTTTTTAGTAGAAACGGAGTTTTGCCATATTAGTCAGGCTCATCTCAAATTCCTGACCTCAGGTGATCTGCTCACCTCAGCCTCCCAAATGCTGGGATTACAGGCTTGAACCACCGTACCCAGCCATCTTTAAGTTCGTTTAATCAACACATTGTCTCTATTCTTTTCCTTTGACCCTATCCCTTGAAGATCACGGTCTAGTTGACCTGTTCAGCTTCCCACAATGTGGATTCTGAGGACTGCGTTCTCAAGGCACAATTCAATTCACGCCTCCATCCTCAGAGGACAACTTTCTGCAAGACAACAGTTGGATCTAGAGGCTTCATCAGACTCAGACTTGATCCTATGGCAATATTAGAGGTGGGGCTAGGGATGGTCTTTCATTAGAAAGCACAGAATGCCTAGTTGTCTCTTTTACGTCTAGTTAGCAACCATGGATGCTCAATGCCTAGATGTGTTAATTCCTGGAGAGCCGCAAAATAGTCATCTTCTAATTCTATTGCTTTGTTTTCATACCTTATAATGAAAAGCGTCCCCTCAGCTACTACTTTGTTACTCAGTGGTACAATTCATAAAGGACAGAGAAGATAAATGCTTGATTAATCCATTTATATAGTGTCTTCAAGAGGATGTACTTGCCACGTTCCAGGCTAACCAAAGAGGTTTTTTTGTTTGTTTGATTTTTATTTATTTTCTACTGTATTCCTAGAGGATAACTGAAGAGTTTTGTAAACATCATTACAAACTTACTCATTTAAACATATTTGATTGTTTCAATAACTGCTCTTGTGTAAGCTCCAGTGGTCTCATCTTTGGCCAGTGAGACCCTCCTCAAATTGGCTATGTGTCCTCAGTGGTCTTGTAGTTTGCTTTCTCTCTGGTTTGACACAATGTCCCAGGCCCACTTTGTACATTTCCTAACCCAGTCCCAGAATGAACCATTTCACCAAGAAGCCTAGTTTAATGGGAAAAGGCACTTCAAGACCATGACATGGGTGCTAGTGAAGCTCACTGCAGAGTGCACAGCCACGGAACACCAGGGGTTATGAGGCCGAAATTTCACATCAAAAGATAAGTTCCGTCAGACCCACCAGATTATAAGGTCAAGAGGCTGCAGCCACAGTCTATCATAATAAAGGTAGTTGTACATCCAAAATCACACATAAGCAGGACCAGAGGGCACAAGCAAGCTGCATGAATAGGGAGCCAGACTCCCCTAGCACCCGCTGGCTGTACCAACTCCCTCCTCACTTCACATCTATAGCTGTGTGGTGGTCCAGTACAACCAGCTGGGGGCCAGCAGAAAAGCTGATCTGGCAGAAGAGTAGGGGTTGAATTGTTGGCTCATTATATTGGTGCACACTGGAAAGGCATAGCAGCCACATTGCAGCCTCACTTAAGAGTGCCAGGAAAGACAGGAGTAAGAGAAAATCCTCCCAACTGTTTCCTTCAAAAAGGAAGGAAGAGCCCAAGCTCAGGACAGCTGTGGACTCAAGGTCAGCAGCAGGTGGCTTGGCTACCTAGCCAGAGGCCAGAAACACAAAAACTGGAAGATCGGGAATTAGGAAATCTGGGGTAGAGGGACAGACGTGGACATGTAGGAGTGAGTATGCAGCATGGAGACCTTTGCACCGCACGTTAATGCCAGCTAGAGGGCACCTACCATGAAAGAGGCACTCATTCACAAAGCATGAAAAGGGGCCTGGCCAGGGGATGCCAGCCAGCCTCCTCACTGGCCACCCTAGTACCTGCGTGATGGATGCAGAAACGAAGTGGCCACAATGACAGACAGGTTACACATGGCCCAACAGCATGAATGCCCACTCCTCAAGGCCCACCTAGCTACTTCCACCACCAATTGTCCAAATGGCCAGCAACAGAGACTGTCACCAAATGCCTTATGCAGCACCATTCCTTGAGAGGACCAACCTACCACAAGGTGGCAAAGGATTACACTGGACTCCTTCCATGATGAAGGGGCCAGTGATACGTTCTTATACTCACGCACATGTATTCCCAGCATGGGTTTGACTTTCCTGCCTTCAGGGTCTTGGCCAGCTTCTGTCCCATAAATCACATCCATCAGACCAAGCGACTCACGTTGCTGCAAGGAAGATGCAGCAGCAAGCCCACAGCCAGTTTCCACCTCTTTTATTATATTGCATATCACCAGGAACTGCCATCCCGACAAAGCATTGGAATGGCCCCAAGGCACAGCCACAGCACCTGTTCACAGAGAACTCTGTACAGGTGGGTGCTGGACTCCAGGACACCAAATCAAAGACTCCAAAGGTAGGGACACACTGCATTCCCCAAATGAAGAATACGTGTGTTTGGAAAGCAAAGGAGAGAAACAGGATTGCCTTCATTTACCGTCTCAGGGACCCATCAGGACACTTTGCAGTTCCTATCCCCACAACTCTTGGCTCTGTAGAGTTAGAGGTCCTGGTTCCCAAAACAGTACACTTTCATCAGGGAATACAGCAAGAGTCCATTGAGTTATATGATACAGTTATTGCTTGGGCACTCTGGGCTCCTTGCTACAGGGACAAGGAGGCAAAAAGAGTTTGCCAGGTGCGATCGTCCCATAAGCAGTGGAGGAGGATCTCTGTCAAGCCACAGCCTTGCAAGCATTTGGTTTTAGAAGGTATATAAATATTTGCCAATGGGATGGGCTTAAAATGTTATTTCCTTGTGATTTGTTATATATGTAGTTAAACGCCAGTGAGGTCGAGCATCTCTTCATATGGTATATGGGACACTCATGTTCTCTCGTTTGTAAAGTGCCTTTGTCCATTATTCTGTTGGGTTCTTATATTTTTCTTGATTTGTTGCAATTTTTATGTTTTGGATACTATTTTTGGAAATGTATGTGTTTATAGATATTATCTCCTATCTGATTTGCTTTTGACTTCACTTAGGATGTCTACTGTCATACAGATGCTTTAAATTTTAATGTGGTTAAAT